GAACGGGAACGGGAATGGGAACGGTGTGCGCTCGCTCGCTCGCTTGCACTCACTCACTGACTCGTGACTCACCCGAGTTTCTTGGGACCGTGCGTGCTCTTCTTGCGATCCCGATCGTCTGCCGATCACACGCCTGCTCTCCACTCCTCCTCTTCTCTCAGTCCATCCGCCCGTCAGCAGCAATCCTACCATCTACCTTTACTCTCGAGTTTCCCTTGCTGCTTGCTCGAGTTCTCCGTGCCGCTTGCAAAGTCGACCCGACCCGTCTCTCTGCGCCCTCATTTCCCTATAGACATTTCCGTCTAAACGTCATCCATCCCTCATCTTTTCCCAAGCATGGCCTCTCCACTCTCTCCGCTGCTACCTCGTCTAGCTCACGCCCTGTCCCGCATAAGCACAACGACAGCCCGTACCATCGCATCTCCGCCTACTCAGCCACGGAGAGCTTCCGTAGCGCTGCTTTTGCGCGTCAGACCGTGTGCCGAGGATGAGCAGCGTTTGAGCGAAGAGTACGATGCGGACGGATTACCTTTGCCTGGAAGCGAGGGGGCTAGAATGTTGTTGGAAGGCGCATCGGGCATCGATTCCGCTCGACCTGCTTCGAGTGAAGACAAGTCGGAATCAGGATCGCGATTGCAACCATCTCAAGTCGACTTTGATGCGATGGCCCAAAGCTCTCAGCTGGGAGAGAGCTTCACAAGCAGCTTGTTACCCGACCAATCCACTACCTTGAGCCAGACTGCAGCTTCTGCTTTGCCCTCGGATGCTGGTCTGGGCGCATCGAGCTTCGCCGATGTCGGTAGTGATGTCGACTCGAGCAGAGTCACGGCAGGTAGTGCGAACGTGACAGAAAGTGCTAGGTCTCACCACAACGCCGCTTCCACCTCCGCATCAGCATCAGCATCGGCATCGCAAAGGCTTTCAGCATCCAGCACAGACGCAGGAGCAGCTGAGTCCAAGAGCACAGGCACCGCTCCAAATGTACCTCAAACGCTCAACACCTTCTTCGATCTGAGCTGGGTGAAACGCGGCACGCCCGAGCTGCTCTACATCAAGCGCAGCGCTCGTCAAGGTGACAAATGGTCAGCACACGTCGCTTTTCCTGGAGGTAGAAGGGAAGAGGGGGACGAGAATGGGCTGTACACTGCCATGAGGGAGACTTGGGAAGAGGTAGGCTTGGACTTGGCCGAGTCGGAATTTCTGAGCATCGGACAATTGGACGATAGGGAAATCACGACGAGTCTGGGCAAAAGACTACTGATGGTACTCAGTCCCTACGTCTTTTTGCAGACGAGTCCTTTTAGCCCTCTGCCCGAATTGCAGGAGACGGAAGTGGCCAGCGCTCATTGGATACCTCTGGACCTGCTTTACACTCCCAAACCCAAGTGGGGCCTGACGAGCGTGGATATAGCTTCCAGATTGGCTCCCAAGAGCCCCGCCGTCAGATGGGCGCTGCGAGCGTTGGTGGGAAAGATGGATTTCAGATGCATACTGCTCCCCAATAAGCCCGT